TGATGACTTTTTACTGAAATGAACATGGTATTCCTATGACTGTTTAAGAGATTACAGATGATTCCCAACTGGAATTACAGATGATTTATGAATACAATTACACCTGCAACTCTCTTCATAAACGTTATACGGTGGTTTTTATATAATCAATAAAGTGATAATAGTGATTTATTTCCATAAAATAAATAACAGTCAGAATAATAATCATCTATCATACATATAGATTTCTAATAACCAATGAATATAGTATTACCACTGATACTTACAACTCTTCAAAATAGATTTTATTACATGAATTTTATAGGTAACAAAATTGAGACCTCGACTGCTTAAGTATTTGCCCAGTTCATCCAACTGAAAGTGCCAGAAACAGACTTTGAGACCAGAGCTTCATGATCCAATAGCATCCCCTTTTCCCACTGTGCATGTCTCCTTCTGTGGGATTTTTGTATCTACCTCTCTGTTCCTGAATATAAAAAAATATATATTATTTACATCAATAAACTACTATGCATAACTCTTTTAACAGTTTTATCATTAACCCATAATGTTGGAGAACCAGCCTCAAAATATTTGACAGGTTGATTGCTTTAATCCTTAAAGGGTGGTCTTTGTTATAAAGTTGGCAAGGGCAAGCATAGTACCATTCCCTATGTGAATCTTGGGGTTCTATAGAAAATAAACAAGGAATGTCACAAATGTGAATTGTGCTCCAGAATGATAGGAAGATACCAGTTTAAGAGTGAAAAATGAGAGATTCACCATTATAGTAAATTCTCTGCTGACAGATGAATTGTTTTTGTGTTTTTGTAATACCCACAAAATTTCCATCTGAGGTCATTTTTAATTTATACCACGCATTATCTCTCTTGATCCACCTTTTTCTCAAGGTATGTGAGACTGAGGTTTTGTTTTCATTATCCCACCCACATGTGGTTGGCCTACACAAACATACACACACCCTGCCTGGCTTATTTCCAACACAAATACCAATGGTATTCACACCCTGGGAAGAAGAATATCTTGGTTAAAAGTTGACGTGGGGGTTAATGTCCAAATCAAAGCTTATATTGCAGAGTTAAATGCTAGGAAAATGATGGTGTTGTAGAAACAGAGTACTCAGGAGCTTAGAGGCAAGTATGTATTTTCTTTTTGTCACCTAAGAGAAATAAGTCAACATCTTCACAGGAAGCAAAGAAAGGCACATCATTTGAGGAAGTTCAAAAATCTCACAGGTACTTAAGAAACCTCTTCTCCCTAAAAATACCTCCAGTCAGTTCTATTATTTTAATGATTAGATTTTACACACACACACACACACACACACACACACACACACACTTATACACCAAACACACCTGTGGAAAAGAAATACGTTATCTGTGAGTGAACAATATTCAGAGTTAGTAATGTCACAGGTGCTTGCCTACTAATTTTACCTTTAAAAATATACAGAGAACATTTAGGTACCAAACTTAACTGGGGGGAAACCAGAGAGGAGGAAGGATGGGATTCAAACTTAGCCAACACTTGGGCAAATTCCAAACCAAGGAGAAGCTTGGGGAGGTGCACTGTGAAATTAGGGAAGAGCTGAGAGGTGGGCGATTCACATATGTGCTGATGGATGTGAAAGACATTTAAAAAGGATAAAGAACCATCGGGATCAAGGGATGCATCAATTCTCAGGCAGGTTTGGAGGTGCTAAGCACATTAAAATGCCTTCTTTCTATTTTGCTGAGCTGGCTGTGTTATCATGTATGTTTCAGTTCAGCAACACCTCCCCAAGCTCAAGTTACCCTTACATGACATTTTAATCCACACACATTTACTTCTGAATTCCTTGTCCCCAACCACAAGAATTTTACTTTGAGTGTACGTAGATTTTGAGTCATTCCAGTTGAGGATAATTAGAAAAAGATGAAAGTAGGAGATGGGGAAGGAAAAGGGTGGTGAAAGGAAGAGAAAAGGTTTTGGCAAAGCGTCCCCGGGAAAGATAAAGGAAGCCCTGTGCTCAGAATCCTTTCCCAGGAAGGAAGCTAAGACTTTGGAAAAGGGATGGATGGTGCCAGGTCACAGTGCTCTCCTGGCACCAGGGTCCTTAGAGTGAAAGTTAAGGCCATGGAGCCCTGTGATTGGCCAAGGAGGGTTGACACCTATCTACCCCACTACGGCAGACTGAGTGGGTTAAAAATGGTCACAGGCAACTTTTTTCCATTTTAAGTATTCCAACTGCATTGCGTTTCCTACAGAATCAAAAGTCAAAGTCATAATCAGAAAGACATTAAATATTTGGATGGAAGAACAGACTCCGAAGAAAAGGAAATACTTCTTAGCTTAATTCATGTGAATTGTCAGCAACAGAATAGAATTTCGAAGCATCTAATTTCAACACAGGAAGAAGGAGAAAATGAACTGAATGCAATTGTAGACTATGAATGATTGCCTATATAGGATAAATAAAATAGTGTTTCCGTGCTTTGCAACTAATATGTAGTGTGTATAACTTTATTTTCTGAATAAAAACAATTTAAAAAAAAACCTTGCCGAAACCGGTTTGGCTCAGTGGATAGAGCGTCAGCCTGGGGACTGAAAGGTCCCAGGTTCGATTCCGGACAAGGGCATGTACCTGGGTTGCAGGCACATCCTCAGTGGGAGATGTGCAGGAGGCAGCTGATCGATGTTTCTCTCTCATCGATGTTTCTAACTCTCTATCTCTCTCTCTTCCTCTCTGTAAAAAATCAATAAAATATATTAAAAACAAAACAAACAAAAAAACCCCTTTATTAAAGAGGTTAATCTGAACACACATACCCCATTCCCCCAACACTCTTAGTGCCCTCAGGCAAGAACTACAAATTTGGGTGACTTCTGCTGTAGCCAGGGAAACTGAATGATGCCTCTTCCTTGCAGCTGCGATGTGAGAGAGAGTGATGGAGATGGTGATAAGCTTCAGAAAACATGCCCAGTTTTTAAATAGAGTGAATTCAATTTTCCTAAGCCAGTTTGAAAACAAAAGAAATAGGTCTGTGGGCCACAAAGAACTTTCTCAGTCTGTCAATTTCAATCTCTCCAAAGTCTCCGATCCCTTAACAGCAAAGTGTCTTATCACAAGGCGTTCAGGATCCTGTGAGTGGGAAAGGAATACTAAAATGAACATACAAACCAGCCAAACCTTGCATCTAACAAACATGTGCTTTCCTGTCCTTGTGGCTTTCAACTTTCATTTCTGAAGCTATTTCTCTTTTCAAATGTTTTGTGCGTATGTTTTGTCTGCGTATAATATGTGTCCCTACTTTGAGAAGTTCATAACAATGATAGCCACGTTTGTCTGGCTTTAGAAAAGCATGAAGACACACAAACACACAACACACACACACACACACAAATCCACAAGCACACACACAGATATACACACAAGCATACATAAATATGTGAACACATATGCACATACAAATACACAAACACGAATACACTAACACATACACATAAAAACACACAGAAATACAGAAGCATGTTTGAGCCTTCTGTCAGGCCTTCTTAAAGGTATATAACCTCCTGTAAGAGAATATTTGGGGCTTCTAAAAGGAAGGATGCTACAAGAGTTTGTGCTAATATGGATCAGAGTCTGTTTAGAGCTCACTCCTCATTACTGGCCCATGAAATGTATACAAACTCCCCTGCATCTCATTTGGGTTTACCTAGAGCTGAAAAACAGAAGCTTATGCTTTTGTGACTCTCTCCTTTAAACCTGAATTTGTGAGAAATGAATAACCTCATGCCATCCCAATTATTACAGCTCACATTGGGTAGATGTCACCTTTAGCACTTTGGGTGGCATGCATCTTCCCATGTAGAAGTCTGTTTTGAAAGATTGCGTGCACAGATTTCATTTCTGATCACTGGCAGTAGTGAGCTGAACATAGATATATTCATTTGCCCTGTGCTATTTTATTAGTTATGAAAACTATATAGTTTGGGCAACATCTCCAAAACATTTACATATAAGAAAAAGAGGGTTAACGTTTAGTCTCAGAGCTTTAGTGATTTTTACTTAGCACAGAAATTGATTTGGGTAGCCATCTGACCACACAGCCCATTGATATTAGAAAACTCTGTGAAGAGGTTAGTAAACACCTTCTCAACTTTTTTTTCTTGCACCAAATAAACAGAAAGCATTCTATCATAAAATGTGAAAAACATTTTAAAGAATTTTAGAGTGGTTTGTATGGTATGCAGAATTCTAAGATAGCCCCAAGAATATTGCCTCCTAGTGTACACACTTTATCTCTCCCACTTAATTATAACCTGTGAATATGATGATGTCACTGCTGTGATTAGGTTATATTATATGGAAAAAAATGTGAAATTTTCCCCATATATAACCATGGTCCCAAATCAGCTGGTTTGTGAAAAGATGATCCTGTGCGGGCCTGATCTAATCGAGTAAACCCTTTAAAAGTGGCTTATTCTGCTGCTGGTCTTAAAGAAAATGAGTTCTAAAGCCATAAAGAATTTTTTTTTTCAACACTGCCTGCATTGGGAAGTTATCCTGGACCTCAAGTGAGACCTCAGCCCTAGTTGACACCTTTGTTTTAACCTCATTAGACTCTAAGCAGAGGACCTGGTTAAGCCACGCCCAGGTTTCTGACCCACAGAAACTGTGAGATGAAATTTGAATGTTCTTTCAACCTGCTAAATTCGTGGTGATTTTCTACACAGCAACTGGAAACTAACACTGTTCTGCTACTGAGTTTGTAGCACAAACCATTTAACAATAACATAAAGCAAAAGTAAGTCATTCTAAAATTATTAACTCTCTGTATTTCTTATTTTAGTAATACTTAATATGGGTCTAGTTCTTGCCATACACTAAGCAAGGGCTGCCGAAACATATACTTTTAGGGGGTGATGACCCTATTATTAAAGGCTTCCCATTTCTTCACTCTTGGTCCACATGTCCTTGGCAATGTTGCTTTGCATCTTCTTCTACCCAGAGGTACAGTCTATTTATTGTTCTGGCCTTGTGATGTGCTTTGGCCCATAGAATAGGATGGAAGCAATGGTATGCCAGTTCCAACCCTAAGCCTCAGAGGCCCTGAATATCTCTGCTTGGTTTCTTGGGTGTCTGCTAAGACCTGAGAAAATAGCCCACGGTAACTTGCTGTAGATTGAGACACATGGAAAGAAATTGCTGGTCTCAATTACCCCAGACAGCCAGCTTTCAGCCAACTGGCCACCTGACCACAGACACTTGAGCAACCTGACTTGAGAGCGCTAAACACACACACACACACACACACACACACCCCTGGCCGAGGAGTCCACAAGCTGAAGAAGGATTGAAGGACTCATGGGAAGGTAGAGAAGTTACAGGCTTCCTGCTGCTTTATGCCAGTGAGGTGGGTCAGCAGATCATCAACAGGCTACAAACTGGCTTCTCTTATGTTTCCCTCCTTGTGGCCCACGCCTGTGGGAAGAAGTTGTGGGATATGTAGTTCAAGTTCTGTCTAAGCCAAGTTAACACATGGCAAAGCCATCTCAAGTAGCAAGGCCTTTTATGACCTGGTCTTGGATGTCCAATAGTGTCAATTTCACCATATCCTGTTCTTCAATGTCATCACAGTCCCACCCAGAATAAAAGAACCCACATCATCTCCTTAGGAGAAATGCCAATGAATCTGTGGTCATATTTTAAAAGGACCACAATAGCTCTGTCCGTGTGTGTGTGTGTGTGTGTGTAAGAAAGAGAGAGAAACAGAAAGAGAGGCAGAGCCACAAAGACACTGAGACTGAGAGAAATTGAATGATAGAGGAAAGATGGTAACATCTTACAACTGGAAAATCTGGGTGCAGGAGATAGGAGATAAGTAAGATTTTTTTTATTGCTCTTGCAACTTTTCCATCAGTTTTAAATTTTTGAAAAGAATATGAGAGAATGAAAGAAGCAACCTAAGGAGAAATAGTTGTCTACTCACATGTATAAAATATATGATTTTTCATTGTAATGTGGTCAAATAGGTTATTTGAAAGGAAGAAATGTTCATGAGGAAAAAACCTGTCAGCACATAACCCATTTGCCATGACTGCTTCCCTTCCCAAATGTCACTGGCTTGACACTATAAAATGAGAACTATGCTGAAGATGTATTTGGCTGGGACCAGTTAGATTTGTTTAGACACTTACATTATTGAGTCGCTTTAATAATTTGCTGTTTTCCTTCTAAATGGGAAAACAACAACTTTGTGTAGCTCTGTTTCTTAAACTTGAGGATACATTACGGGCATTTCTGCTAAACAGATGTTTTCTTGTTTGCATGTAAATGAATCTGCTAAGATGTTATAATCCAGCTTTTCAAGTGTTCCTAATAGACTTGTTCTGGTGACTGGACTAAAATTTGCTAACGTGCCAGGAGAACTATTTTCCTGGGTGCCAAACATTCCAATCTCTTCTTGGCTGCTTCTTCCTGTCACTCCTTCAGCTTCTGCACGAATGTCAGGGCTCCTGCGCTCTTTGCAATCTTTCTTCCCTTTCTCGGGTGGTTCCTAATTATAGCTTCAGTCCAGGGTTGAATGTGAGCATTTCAATCATTTTTCCCCTATTTCCCAAAGAGACTATTAGTCTCTTATAAAAGCCTTGTAGAGAAGACATTGGGAATTCAGAACAATTTTATTTTTTGCTTATCTTCCAAGGACCATGAGATCAGGATCCAGATGTTGTGACTTAGCCAAGGGCAGGGTTGTTCCCTAGCAAAGGAAAGCTGGAGTTGTGCATGCAAAAGAGAAAACAGGAAAGGAGATGCTTATGCCTGAGAGTTAGAGTTCGGTGCACACGCATAACCACTTCCGATATATTTATTGAGAGAGAGAGAGGGAGAACATGAAGACGTTAAAAAATTGAGAGGTCCTTTGATTCTAACCACTGTAAATTCAGTTGAGAAATAAAAAAAAGATTAAATCACAAATGAAAATAAATGTAAGCAGCGCATTGAGAACATAGGTTATCATATTTTATGCCTGAAGGAAGGTTCAAGTCGGAGTAGCGCCAGGGAACGGTTTCAAAAGTATCACTCCCCTTTCCCAGTCATCCGGGCCTCTCTTCTTTGTTCATTTTTATGTTCCTGAGGTCCCCTCTTCCTATTTATTTTCCTATCTTTTTACCAAATGAAATACAATGAGAAAATAACCTTTTTATTTATTTTTTTTCTCTTTGATTTCTTTATACTTCCCACTACATGTTGCTTAATTTGATACAGTGTTATAAGAAGAAAAATAAAAATCAGTTTTTTTTTGTTTTTTTTAAAATATATTTTATTGATTTTTTTACAGAGAAGGGAGAGGGATAGAGAGTCAGAAACATCGATGAGAGAGAAACATCGATCAGCTGCCTCCTGCACACCCCCTACTGGGGATGTGCCCGCAACCAAGGTACATGCCCTTGACCGGAATCGAACCGGGGCCCCTTCAGTCAGCAAGCCGATGCTCTATCCACTGAGCCAAACCGGTTAGGGCTAAAAATCAGTTTTATTTTAACTTTTTCAATAATTAATATAACTATTATTAAAACATTTACCATACTTTCTAGTGAAGTCCCTTAACATCCCCTCCTTTCATTCATCTCCATTCAGGTTTAGAGTCAAATACCTTGTCAGGAAGTTTACCCTGGCCACTATGTTACTTGAAGCCTTAATTTTATTTAAATTGAATTATTTGATAGAAAAATATTTCATTGAAATTTCAAAATCTGAATACCAAAACTGGTATAATTTTAACAGCTCCTAAGAAAAACAATTTTATCCCAGGTATATGCAGATGTAATTATTTTAAACACTGTCTCTAATCACCTCTGCATGTGTTTAAATATGAGAAGTTTTCGCCTTGAAATGGGACTGAGAGGGCAAAACCAACAACTGTCTCTTGTGCAATGATCAGCTTGTGTGGAAACATGCCAGTCACCACTGGAAAGCTGAGCGGTGTATCCTAATTAGTGTGGGCGCATACTGTTCCCTCTTATCAATTCCCGGACAAGGAGTGACCTATTAATTCGGACTCTTCCTTCAGCTGAGGGGTCATTACATATGAAGATGCCAAAGCTGTATACCATAGAAGAAAAGCTAATCTGGCTTTTCCATCTGAAGGTAAATTTCCTTAGAAGAAAGCTAACTCCTATCAAAGCTGTCCTGTCCATTCCAAGCAAGATAGCCTGGAGAGATCTATCTATCTGGATAGACCTATATAAAAATAGATAGATAGATTGATAATAGAGGATAGATAACTAGGTAGATATGACGTAAATAGATTTTTTCTCACCAGGTGTTATACAATACAGGTCATATTATATTGGATATACAATAGTGTGATATTATACTACATATTACCTATATATTCTATTAATCATTCCAGTGATATTATTAACCAGTTCTGGGGTGGTGAAAGGTAGACTTTGAACAATTTCGCATGCCAGTTTAAGATTAAGCTTAAACCTCTGCCCCTTACCAAGTCATGCTATCTCAGACCTTAACGATCATATAGTTTATTTATCATCAACTGAGGAAAGAATCTCCTTTATGTTTTTAGCACGTGCTCAATCCATTTCTACTTGTTATAATCTTTGGTGTCAAATAGACTTGAGTTTATAGCTTAGCTGCACTTCTCTCTAGCTTGGGGGTCCGGAGGAACTCTCTGAATCTGTTTTCTGAATGAGGATAATATAGTCCACTTCATGGGTTTGAGGGGATTTCATATACAACATTCTGATTATAGAGACCAACAGATAGTTGCTTCATAAATACAAGTTTCTTTATACATTCCTTCCAGTTCTGGGAAGCCCATTAACTTCCAAATAAACCTGTTCCTCCATTGAATTGGTATAGTTATTAGAAAACTCTTCTTTTATTACAATCTGCTTTTCTCTTTTTCTAACCTACACTTCTCATTTGTGACTTTGAGCTTCCCAGAAGTAGCGTCTGCCTACTCTTATAGGCCAGTAGGGGTTGTTTAAAGTAGAATAAGTTTGTTACTTTCCAGGTTCTATGCATCTTTAGTTCATTGTTCAGTTGAGCCCGGCCGGCATGGCTCAGTGGTTGAGCATTGACCTATGAACCAGGAGGTCACGGTGCAACACTCGGTGCCTGGCACATGCCCGGGGTGCAGGCTCAATGTTCAATTGATATAGATTCTACACATTTTAACTGGTTGGTCCTACTCTGCTGGACAGAATTAAAAAGGTGAATGACCCAATCCCCCTTTTCCTAAACAATACATTTTCATCACCTAGAATTTCTGGATACTGCATGTTTATTAAGTTTTTATCTACTAGATATTTTACCTTACATCGAATTTTCAATTACTTAAAACATAGTAATTTTCATAGAAAAACCCACTGGAATTGCATTTCATAACTTCCTGACCAGAGGCACACAAACCCAAGCACTAGTCCCACATGTTGGTTGCCCACATAATTGAAACTTCCTCTGGGTCAATAGGATGGAATGTTTAAACCGCTTAACAGAATGTATAATCATACAGTGTATTACTGTATACGGTAACATGAATTATACTTTCATAAGACATCTTTCTTCAGTTAGTGAGCAACCACCACCCCTTCTCTTAGGTTTAATGTGAAAGTGACAAGGCTGACAGGAAAAAATAGAGATAAGGTGAGAGAGAAATATATATATATATTGTATATATATAGTATATATATATGTATATATATGTATATATATATGTGTATATATATATATATACAATTCCCTGTGTATTTGCATTCAATGTTGTTAAATTATAATTAGTCTGAGTCTACTCTTCCAACAATACCAACTCCTCTTGGGTCTGAAGAAGGTATTAATTATAATTTGTTTTTGGTTATGACAGTACGTATGGCATGGAAAATAGAGTTCACATTTAAACTCATTATATATGCTAAGTGATTATCAATCAAATGGTCATTTGTTTTAAAAATAGAATATTAAGTTTCTAACATGATGCCTTTATACGAGTAAATCAAATAAAAATATGAAGTGGTAAGGTGTATATCTTTTAAAATATAATTTTACTGAAAATAACATTTCTGAAAGCCCATTTATTTTTAAAAATAGACTTGTGCTAAGTATCCTTTGTCTGTCTTTTTTACAATTAGTATCCAGGAACTCAAGTGTAGCACTTATTAAAGTCAATTTTGAAATGAAGATTAAGATAAATTTGATAAAATAAAAACTTTGCTTTAAACTTACTCAAATCAAGACATCCTAGATCCGTGGTCAGTAAACTGAGGCTCGTGAGCCACATGCGGCTCTTTGGCCCCTTGAGTGTGGCTCTTCCTAAGCCTTAGGAGTAACCTAATTAAGTTAATAACAATGTACCTACCTATATAGTTTAAGTTTAAAAAATTTGGCTCTCAAAAAAAATTTCAATTGTTGTACTGTTGATATTTGGCTCTGTTGACTAATGAGTTTGCCGACCACTGTCCTAGATGAATCATATTTTAGGAAACCTAAAACCTAAAAAAATAAAAGATATATTTGTCTACCTGATCCCAAAATATTTATCATCATCTTTTAAATAGCAAAAAATATAAATAGCAGCAGCTATTGTCAACAATGCCTTTTGTTTTCTTATTTTTTGTTTTGCCTTATCAACTTAATACTTTGATGTTCCTCACTAGGAAGTTGAGTGTCATTCCACTCTCTGTTCCAATTTCATCTGAGGGACAAAGAATATTCAAAAAGAGAGTATTTGTCCTCCTGATAGTCTCAGAGTTTCGACTTTCCTTCAGTGCTCATCAGTCTCACACATCCCCAGTCCACTGGGTTTAAATGCAGTTGATTCCATGGAGCATTCATTTAAGATAATCTGACCCTGACAGTGACCCCAGAACTTTGCATCGCCTTGGTCACAGTGATTGCCCTGAGAAGGATATGGTACCCAATTCCATGCAATGAGACTCAATTGCTAGACTTTAAATTACTGTTGAAAAAAGAACATTGTTCTTTCTGCTAAGAGATGCTGAAAAGATAGAGTATGTTCCTTAATCATTTTGCAACTATCTAGTAACCAGGAATGGAAACCCTGCAGGAAAACAGAGCAAATAGAATAGATTGAAGCTAAAGCTTGAAAGTCTTAATTGCGCTTCCTTGTTCCAGCTGGCCTGGTAAATTCTGCCCTTTTTTGCCTTTATTTCTTTCTTAAGGTGATTTGAGTTGAATTTTCTATTAGTTGTAATGAAATGAGGCCCAACATACATGTTAATTCAAATTGGAAAACTCGCTTGTCCTTGTAATACCTATTGAAAAATGCAGCAGTATTGTTTCAAGACTAACAAGTCCAAAAGGCTTAATGTTCGTAGAAATGACTCCAGTTCCTTCACAGTGACACTGCCCTCACTATGTATTTGTCTCTTTTGTAGGACCAAGTCTCTACATGAACCCTTCTTCTAAGTGTCAATTAGCATCTTCTAAGAATGCTTATCTATTTTTGAGACCAGAACACTGCCATTAATTCTTGAATAGAAGTACTGGTCCCACTGTCCTGCTAGGGACTTGATAAACTCCATCCTCAGAGGTGAGATCTTTTTATAGGAAAAGGATCTGTATTCAGCCTATAAGCTTTAAACTAATGTATCTGCCTAATGCCCATGTGTTTGTTAAAATTGCATTGGAAACATAGTCTGTCCTGTGACATCTTGGAATGCATCCTGCCTAGATTTCCTTCCGTGTTGCCTGCATTAAAGATTTAAGCTCAGGTGAAAATCACATCAATTTCACATTTCTAAATCTTGACATACATTGCTGAATTTCAAAAATGAAATTATAAAAAAGATTGTGACACTAATACTTTTTATATACAAAAGTTTTAAAATACAATAATAAGAGAGAAATAATGAGAAGCATGAGTCATCACACTATTGGTAATGTTTTTAGATTTCTACTGTAACATTGTTAGATTAAATTTTAATGTGATCGTACTACACATAATATTGTTAACCTCTCTCACACCTGATGTATCCTAAAGATACTTCCATGTCAATACAAATACCTTATCATCATTTAAACACCTGCATTATACTCTCATGAAGAATGTATTTTTTATTTAATTTATTTAACCAGTTTCTTATTATTCAGCATGTCTGATAACAATGATAAAGCTAACAGTAATGATAATTACTGTTGTAGCAAACGCTATGGGTGCTACACATTGAATGTCTCCTTCTTACTGGTAATGTGTGAGCATATGCTCTTCCATGTTTTGGTTGTAATGCCCTGTGCCTACAGTCTTCCTCTGAGGACATTTTTTAGGCAATCAAGAACTGGTGCTAAAATGGTGAAGGTCTATTTCTTGCCTTGGGATAAACGTGAGGCATATTTCACAGTCCACAGTTCCCCTGTAGGATAAGGCTGAAATTGGGAATTTATCTGAAAACACACACATGCTTGAACTTCTTAGGTACCCTTGTACTATTTCCTCTGCTTCCTCTGAGTCTTAATAAATCTCTTACCCATGAATTTTCATCTTATAGATTGCTTCTAATAAACCTGGCCCAAGACATCAATATGAAAATGTTGGTTGAATTTTCCCTTTAGGAAGGAATATGGTGATTCTAAACACTTGAAAAAGTATTATAGGAAAAGTTAAGATATAATGAAATTTAATTATAATGAAGGTCTCATAGAAACTTTTAGGATCCTATCCACAAAGCATATCTATTTTGTCAATTCCAGAGTGAACACATTAATAAGTTTTACTCAAAATATTAAGGTTCTCATGTTTTGGGAAGGTATTCTGTGTAATACATTATTCATAGATTGATATGTTTGTGTGATAGCTTCTCTCTGGCTTTTTGGCAGTTAGCCTAATTTATATCTAGAAAGAACCCAATAGATTAATGAATGTGTTCTCATTCCTTCTTCTATTTGATTATAAGGAAACATTTAATATGCAATATACTAGTGTCTGAGCATAAAAGATTATAAAAAATGAAACCTGACTTCATAGTCTTTACAATCTTTTGAGGTTATTGGATATATAAATAGAAAAGCATAAGTTATTATGAAAATATTATCAGAATAATGTTATAAAACAATACTATCCATTTTTATGGGGCCAAGGAGGAGAATATAAGGCCTTCAATAAAAAGAGAGACAAATAATACATACCCAAGGTATTATTGCATTGTCCTTGTTCTTTGAAAATTTTTTTTTCTTAATGTCCTAAGGGGTCTTAAATGGGGGAACAATTACTTTTTTCTAGGATGGGAATTTATTAGTGGTCAAATAAGTTGTCAAGGAAGTTTAAAGCAGGATGCACATGTTGACATTCTGAGGGAACAAATAGCATGAGCAGAAGCACAGATTGTGTGTTTGTTAGGGGAATGGTTGATAATTGATTGCAGCTGAAATCAGATAGTCTAAAAAACTATAAAAGTAAAAACATAGCAACATCTAATTATACATGAGAGGTGCCAAAACGTAGTGACCATTACAAAAATCTATCATAATATTCTTATTTTGGCTGTGTGGCCCAGAGCCTCCTGCATGATGATTGTTACACAGTAAGGACATACACTGTAATGCATGGAATGAAGTGTTTGCTGTGGGATGGCTCATATTTGCTTCTATCTGTGGTCCTCAGATATTATCCTGCATGATTGTTTCCCTAAACCTGGCATATTGTAATTATACTTTAAAATGTAGAGAGCTCATTTTATAAATTTTGAAATGTCATCACATACTAACAATTACCTAAATTACTTTTTAACTGGAATTTGGGGAAGAAAATTATTTACCCTTCTGTATACCACCAACCTATGTTATTGTTAAGTTGGTAGAGTTCCTAGAACCCCAAGATTTTTGGATAAACTGTGGTTATATTTGGAATTCTCTTTGCTTTAGGTAGGGTTTTTGATTAGACTCTTTCTTGAATTATGAGTGTGTCTCTTTTTAAAATATGTTCAACTCAATTCAATCTCTATATACATAAAATTTTATAATTACATATCTATCAACAATTGAATCTAAAAATCAAGTGAATAAAAAATATGATGAACAGAATAAATTGGTGAATAGAATAGAATCAGGGGCATGGAAATGGAACAGACTGATCAGTCTCAGAGGGAAGGGGGTGGGGGGAGGACAGGAAGACATTAAGATCTTATATGTATATGCATACTAAAGGCCCGGTACACGGATTTGTGCACCAGTGGGGTCCCTTCAAATAAATATATGTGTGCATTCCTATTGCTTATCTCCCTAGGAGTTGAATTGCTTATGTTTATGCTTCAGTGTGCTGGCCTTTAAAAAATTTATAATTAAATAATTATCTGTCATGGTTCACACTGAAGGATAGTAATCATATTATTTGGCACATTTCCTACTGAAAGTAATTCTATGTATTTAAAACAATTTCCAAAGAAAAAGTGCTTTAGAGACTATAGCCTTTCCTTTAATAACTAAGAGCATCTTTTATATATTAAAAGAGTCAGAAGCCCCATTATTCATTTCAGCAGAAAGGAAATGAATGTCCAAAACAGTTAAGTGGTTTAACCAAGTTCAGCAAACATGCTGCAGTTCAGTACCCTTTAAGCTTTACTAAAATGACCCAGCCCTCAACAAATAATTAGCAAACTTTGATCCAAACATCTTTGGCAAATCTTCTAAGAACAAGCTTGGAAAACAGTATAAAAGTTTGCTGGAGTAATGATGTACTCAGCTTTTTCTTCTTCCAGAAATTTTAGTATATTGGGGAAATGAGTTCTAATATTAGAACTATAATTTTAATTTGAAGAGCTTTAGCTTGACTATGTGTTTCTTGGAGATTAATCTATGGTAATTGTGATGACTCACATGTATAAACATAACATTCAAAATTCTCTAACGGAGGTAGAGAAGAGGGCATATGAGAAAGATAGTAGCATATGTATGCTGTGAAAGACAAAATACATACACACAAAATGAAACAACAGCAAGATCAATGACAAGTGACTAAAAGAAGAGGGAATCAAAGAAGCCCTTGCGAAATATTTTAGTAGAGCACTTTTTTTTCAGTTTTGTATTTGAATTAACTGAAAAAGTAACTTAAAAGTACAAAACAAAACAACAACAATGTATATTTCAAGTCTTTGAAAATGAAGCAATCAACAAACTCCAGCCCCAGGGGTCATCAGAGGATAAAAAGAGTCAATTGCTGCCTTCAAGAGATTAATAACTTTGTGGAGTAAAACAGGAATTAAGCAACAGTGTAGTAAGGCTCATCCTTCAGAGCAAGTGGAGATTTTATGTGTCTCTCTCTTCTCTGTCTCAGGTTAAGAATACATTGAGACTGGCCAGCATGGCTCAATG